TCTCCATATGTATAACAAGATAAACAGGGACCATCTTCTAATGGGTCCATAACTAATTAATTGTGAATAAATACTAAAAGGATTCACATGTTTATCAAACACATCTTCATGATAAGGTTTCATCTTCTCTGTTGTGTGCAGGCGACAAAAGTGACTGCTCAGAATCACTTACCCTTTTGGTTGCATCTTCTCTTGCTTTTCCCCAAATCACAGTGTAAAACCCAAAGCTCAATATCACTGATCCAATCACACTGCCCACAACACATAGATGCAAAGTTATATGTACCAATCTTTTAATCTTATTACCCCAACAACCGAAATTATCTATTTCAAAGAAACCGTGGAGGCTAAGTTGGATTCACTAGTTATCGAGTTTAAGTATTATGCATTTGAAGATGAAACTAAACATATCAACAAGCTAGGACTAAGTTTTTATCACTTATGTTTTTCAAGAAAGAGACTATAGTTGAAAAATGTGATACCTCCCAAGGTGAAGTGCATCGCCGAGGAATATAGCAGCCATAATGACAGCAATTGCGATAGACAACGGCTTGAACAAGGATACGTAGACGGGACCCTTCAAATGCAGACCCCATGTGTGGATAACTGAGCCCAATGATGTATCAAAGATTCCCTGAAACATAGTGTTTAGTGTCTGAGCTTAAGCTAAGATAAGAGTCATTACTTGAAGCAAATTACATAAGGTTTGATTTCTCACCGAATATATGACTGCAGCGAGTGAGGTTCCCGGTTTAAGCTTCCAAGAATTCAAATCTTTTTCTGCAAATAGACATACTAGTGCTGAGATTAGCATTGCACAGAAGTTGTAGATGAAGACTACGCTTATTTCTTCAGGGTATATCTCCATGATCTGAGTCTGAAACCATCATGTACACTTGCCGTACTTAGCTCAAGTTTATGCGTTACTAACAACAAAACCAAAAATCTCTTTCATGAATATCTCTGTTCAAGATTATGTACTACCTGAAGAATATACCACACTGAAAGAAGTACATATTGTAAAGCGAGCAAAAGTCCTCCAATTATCCAACTTGACTCGAATGAAGTAAAAGATGCAGCAAAAAGAAGTTTTGGGCCTTTATAAAGAACAATAACCAGAGCACCAGATATAGATACTATTGTGCCAATGATTTTAGCCTGAGTTGCAGAGCTTCTCAACATTACTTGTTCCATCCTTTACGAATCACCCGAGGAAGCAAAACAACTTAGATGATACGAATGATAATAGCAACAAACAAACATCCAACATTTTTGTATGGTTTTTCATTTTCGAAAAAAACAGAAAGGAAAAAGAAGAAAATGGAACCTGAAGAAGACGGCAAGCATGAAGGTGAAAGCCGGTGTAAGGTTGCTTATAGCAGAGGAAAGAGTTGGGGAGCTATATTCTATGCCTTTACAACCAGCTATCCGCGACGTGAGCCTGTTCCCCAAAGTTAGCAAACCAAGCAAGAAAAACTCGTAAATTAAGAAACACACTAATATATATTATTACCCGAGAAGTGTAAGTAAGAAAATCTTGAAGAAGAGAGGAGCTTTGGCTAAAGGTAATCTTCTTGACCTGCATAATATGTAAAGTAAAGTTGATAAAATTCTTGAAAAGTTTTATTCATGAACAAAGAGGTAGCTGAGGAGACCAAGTACCTTCCAAAGATAAGGGAAAGTGTAAAAAGGACAAGCGTAGCAACAACATAAGAGTAGAAGACAAATACATAAAAGCTCAATCCTCTTAAGGTCGCGGCTTTGAACAGTGTGGTTGATCCAACCGTTGTACACTCCACTGCGATCATCGCAGAAAGTGGCAAAACATCTCTCTTAAAATACCTCCAAGCTACTGTCTCTTCTCCTGATCGTCTTGTCATTGATTTGATATCTAAGGTTCTCAAAAAAAAAAGAGTCTCTGAAGTTAAACTGAGTTAGAAGCAACCATATTCTTGGTAGACGTTTTCAGAGACGGCAATATCAAAAAAATATCCAAAACTTTGACCAAATCAATCTTTCACGCCACAAGGATCATATCCGAATATTTCTAGGGACCCATGACAAGGAGCTTTAATACCTTTAGATTAATCAATAATCATTCACCTGAAGAATTTTCCAACTTCCATTTCACATATTCTCCTCCAATGACCAAGAAGGCACATAAGGTAACAATGACAAGAACCCACCAGCAATTGTTTATAAGGACCACCAATCTCAGTTTCATCTTCAGAATGGAATAATTTAATAGATTCATTGGATTTATTAATAGCAAATATATATATACAAACATTAATCAGGACCAACATCTCTTAATGGCTTCATGAATAAAACATATAAGATTCCACTTGCATCAGTCACTCCTTAATGAAAAGGCTTCATCTTCTATGATGTGTGTAACCAACAAAGGTGACTGCTCAGAACCAGCCACAGTTTCCTCTCTTGCTTTGCCCCAAATCACTGTGTAGAATCCTAAGCTCAAAATCACTGATCCGATGACACTGCACACAAAGCATATACATCGAAAACTATATCGGTTATTACCGTTTCCAAAGACGTATAAGAGGCATATGAAGACACTATATATGGAGGCTATGTGTGACTTGTGATGGATTATAACTCTCTTAAATTTGATTCCGTGGATCTACTAGCTATTTCAACAACCTAGAGATGAATGCTATGTTTGTTTCTCAATATAGATAAATACTTCTGAGTGTGCTATTATCAAGGAAGTTTGTGGTGGTAAGTATAGTACCTCCCAAGGTAAAGTGAATCACCGAGAAATATAGCACCCATAGCAACCGCAATGACAATAGACATTGGCTTGAACAGTGATAAATAGACTGGACCCTTCAGATGCAGACACCATGTGTGTATAATTGCGCCAAATGATGAAACTAAGCCTCCCTGATACATGACTGCAGCGAGGGAAACATCCGGTTTAAGTAGAAAAGAAGCCAAGTCTTTTTCCGCAAATAGACATACCGGTGCTGAGATAAGTGCTGCACATAAGCTGTACAAGAACACTACAGTTATTTCTTCAGGGTATTCCTCCATGATCCGAGTCTGAAATTATACAGAGCTGCAAGAAATTTGGCAAGAGTTTTAAGTGTCACCAACAAATCCAAAGTCTTTATTCATACCTGAAGAATATACCAGACTGATGAAAGAAAATATTGTGAAGAAAGCAAAAGGCCTCCGATTATCCAGCTTGGCTTGAGTGAAGTCATTTTCTGGTGAAGCGAAATGGTAGATGATGAAGATGCAGCAGCGAAAACTTTTGGGCCTTTACATAGCACAACAACCAGAGCACCAGATATAGATACTAATGTCCCAATGATTTTAGCTCGAGTCGCAGAGCTCCTTAACACTAGTAGTTCCATCCTACGCAAGTAAGCAGAAGCACTTAGAATTAAACGATTGGATGATAGTAACAAACAAACCTCAAATCCATTCAATTTCTCTCAGACATTAAACGAGGGCGCTATAAATTTTTTATTTCAACCACAAAGTTGTGCTTGTAATGACCAAAAGAAGTAAAGATTGTGATTTCAAAAACATATCATGGTCATTCCACAAAAGCCAAAGGCTTGAGATTTTGTACAGTTAAGAAGTGTGGAATCCACCCAATCGTCAATTTAGCTATCTAAATTACTTTCCTGAAACAGAAACATAAGAGAACGAGGTGGAACCTGAAGAGAACGGCGAGCGTGAAGGTAAAAGTTGGCGTGAGGTTGCTCATAGCAGAGGAAAGCGTAGGAGAACTATACTCTAATCCTTTACAACCAGCTATCTGAGCCATGAGCCTGTTCCCTCCAAGTTAAAAATAAAATAAACCGGAAAAGAAAAACCCGATAGCTCTAGGAGCGTATTATTACCCGATAAGCGCAAGTAAGAAAATCTTGAAGAAGACAGGAGACTTAGCTGAAGGTAATTTTCTAGACCTGCATATGTAAACTATGTTCATATTCTTGAAAATTTGATACTGGTAATAAAGAGTAGTTGAGGAGATCAAGTACCTTCCGAAGATGAGGAAAATTGGAAGAAGAACAAGTGTAGCAAAGGCGAAAACGTAGAAGACAAAGACATAGAAGCTCAATCCTCTCAAACTCGCAGCCTTGTACAGTGTGTTAGAGCCAACCGAGACACACTCCACTGCGACCATTGCAGCAAATGGCACAACATCTCTGCAAAAGTAACTCCATGCCATTGTCTCTTCTTCTGCTCCTCTTGTCATAAGATCTGATGTCTAGACTTTCAACAAAATTCAGAAAGTCAAAGCGAGTTTATAACCAATCACAATGGTTAATCCCACCACGTTTTCTGATACATTATTTTATTTCGTTAAATAATCCAACTTGACCACTAGGTCCAATACTTTATACCTAAGCAAGGCAAGTGAACGTTTTGCCCTGATAATAGAGAAAGAAAAACTAATATTTCTTAACAATCTAAAATAAACAATGCCAATAACGTGGGAAGTTTTCTGTATTTTCTGGTATTGATTAGCATTGAATGTTGCCAATCTTATTAAAAGCAAGAGACTTGAGATTTTGTCTTATCACCCGCATTTACAAATGAATAATATCACTTGCATAGATCCTATCTTAAGGACAAGGCTTCATCTTCGGCGATGTGAGTAAGCAGCAAAGGTGAATGCTCAGAACCAGCACCAGTTTTGGTTGCATCCTCTCTTGCTTTGCCCCACATCACAGTGTAGAATCCAAAGCACAATATCACTGATCCAATGACACTGCCCACAACACATATATCGCGAAAATCATATCGGCTATTACTGTCTCAAAATGGATATCGCAGTTTATACAGCTTTATACCATGGAACTGTGAAGACAAAGTATTTCTCACACGTGAAAGTAATACAGAAGAAACCATATATGAGAGCTCATGTAGATTAGAATCAAGAAACCATATAATTTCTCCAAATGTGATTCCAAAAGATACATGATACTAAGAATTTCACAACCTAGAGTTGAATTTTATGTTCTGAACGCGATGGAAATGAAGAAAATTAAAGATATGGTACCTCCCAAGATGAAGGGCATCGCCGAGGAATATAGCACCCATGGCGACTGCAATTGCAATAGACAATGGCCTAAACAAGGATATATAGACCGGACCCTTAAGATGAAGACCCCATGTGTGGGTAACTGCGCTGAGTGATGTAACGAAGAGTCCCTGAAAAAAAGCGTTAAATCTGAGCTTAAACCATCATCAGTAATGGAGCAGATTATAAGATTAGATTCTCACCGAGTATATAATTGCAGCGAGGGAAATATCCGGTTTAAGCACCCAAGAAGTCAAGTTGCTTTCCGCAAAGATACATACTGGTACTGAGATTAGTGTTGCAACTAAGTTGTAGAGGAAGACTACGGTTATCTCTTCAGGGTATACCGCCATGACCCGAGTCTGAAACCATATAAAGCTACCAAATTTAGCAAAGATTTTTTTGTGTCAACAACAACCCAAAGTCTTTTGATGAGCTTCTAAAGTGTTCGTACCTGAATAATATACCAGACTGCTGCAAATAAATTCTGTGAAGCAAGCAAAACGCCTCCGATTATCCAGCTTGGCTCAGATGAAGTCAGATTCTGGTGGAGCAGAATGGTAGATGATGAAGATGCAGTAGCAAGAACTTTTGGGCCTTTATAAAGCACAACAACCAGAGCACCAGATGTAGATAGTATTGCGCCAATGATTTTAGCCTGAGTAGCAGAGCTCCTTAACACTAATTGTTCCATCCTATACAAGTCACATAAGGAAGCAGAACCATTTAAGAGTTACAAATTTTCTCATATCCAACCACATGGTTGTACTAGTATTAGTGGCTATTCTGTGACACTAGTACAAATACTTGGTAATGTTAAATAGCATGAGAACAAGGTGGAACCTGAAGATAACGGCGAGTGTGAATGTAAAAGCTGGCGTGAGATTGCTCAAAGCAGACGCAAGAGTTGGAGATGTATATTTTATACCTACAGAACCAGATAGCTGCGCCATGAACCTGTTTTACCCAAAAGCCCAAGTTAACAAAGACTAGAAAAAACAAAAGTCAGAAATCCCATAAATCTAGATGCAGAAGTATATATTATTACCCGAGAAGCCCAAGTAAGAAAATCTTGAAGAAGAGAGGAGACTTAGCTGCAGGTAATCTTTTCGATCTGCATATATGTAAAAATAAGTTCTTGAAAACTATATACACAACTGAACAAAGAGTAGTCTGAGGAGATCAAGAACCTTCCAAAGATGAGGCAAATTGGAAGAAGGAGAAGCGTTGAAACGACATAAGAGTAGGTGACAAAGACATAGAAGTTCAATCCTCTTAAAGCAGCAGCCTTGTAGAGTGTGTTTGACCCAACCGAAGTACAGTCCACCGCAACCATTGCAACAAACGGCACAACATCTCTCCTAAAGTATCTCCACGCCACCGTCTCTTCTTCTTTAGCTCCTCTCATGGTAGATTTGTGATCCATATTCACAGAAACTAAGAAACTAAAGTGATTTTTCACTTTATTCAACCACTTGCTCCTCCACGCTCATTACTTTATTCAGAACCAAACAACACACTAACAATGAAGACAATGTATGCTCAAATATATAATAAACAAAATCTCAACTTGATCAAATATATAATAAACAAAATCTCAACTTGATCAAAATACTTCACCACCACAATGATCATATTCGAATATTCCAGTGACCCCACGACAATGAAATTTGACCATTATAGCTTTCCTTTGTGCTGTTTTCAAAATTCCCAATTCTACAACCTACCCTAAAGCAATCGTCACTTACAGATGATATGCGACTCAATAAACTTGTTCAAAGGATCCCCAGAACCGCAACAATGTCCTAGTCGTACGCGACGGCGAAACAGTCAGAAGCTCACGGTGGGACTTTGCCGTCGCCTGTGCAGCGACGACTTCCGGGAAGGACTCAAATGCTCAAATGTCCCTCCCAACAAAATAAGAAATAATTTTTTTTCTTTCTTGTAATCGAAAATAATCGATCAAATTACAAATACTATCTTACCCTTGAAAGTTTTCATTATTTACCAACCCAGCCAACTAGGTTGGGCAAAATTATAGAACCGAACCGAATTTCCCGAACTCAAACCAAATTTCGTGAATCCAAACCAAACTATAAAATAATCCGAATGGAATAAAAATTTCAAAACCTAATTATCCGATATCAAATAAACCAAACTAACCAAATTTTATATTAAAAACTAATATGCTAAATTAAATATATATATAAAAAATATTAAAATACACTCAACATTTACAATATTAATTAAAATTAGTTAATTTGTTCTCGAATGAATCTATTTTTTTGA